GCACGGGGTGGCGTTTCGTCTTTGCAAAGTGCGAGTCCGCTGGGGCAGTGACTCCGTAGCTCCCCTGTATCACTCAGGAGCGAGACCACGGAACCCCCCCAGGTTGTGACGTGAAGAAGCTACGCTCCAGAAAGTACCCCAGCCTCCTGCCCACGCCCCAGCTGCCCCCAAAGCGCAGAGCTTGTCCAGCTCCGGGGCGGGAAACGGAGGCCCAGAGGCAGGATAAGACTCATCCCGGGCCCCAGGCCTGGCGCTAGGAGCCCAGCCTGGGGAGGCTCCTCCCCTAGTAAGTCACCATTTCAGAGCATCGTCAGCGGAACGATCCGCTGCTAAGCCCGATGGATGAAGGCTCAGTGGGAGAGGCCATCTGAGATGAGAAATGCTTTGTAAATAACAGCTGATAAGGAGCAGACGGATTTAGGGCCTCACAAATGAGCGCCTGGCCTCTGCGTGATCTGTACCTGGGAGCCACGGCCCCTGCCCTTCCTCTGCCCCTTTTGGGAAAGGCCCGCTGCAGGCGGAACAGGGCAGACGCGTGTCCTGAGCGGTCCTGGCCCCTCAAGATGCCCCTGTAAAAGCCCGTCTGCCACCCCTTCCTGGGATCAGGGCTCCGAGGGGTCCCCAGGTGCCGCCACCCCCGCTGCACACCGTGCCCCGCTCAGCCGCTGCTTGTCGAGCACCAGCTCCTCCCTGGGGTGGGCCGGGCTGAGTCCCATCAGAGGACCAGGCGATCCCTCAGCGCTCGCCATCCTGCGAACCTGCAGGGAGCAGCTTGCTGGCTCCAAGGCCAGCGCGGCCGTCAGGACCCCCTCCGACCCCTACCAGTTACAAGACCTCTGACTTGGGCTGAACTGTGTGTAAGGAACAGCCTGTTGGGGCCGGGCTGTTGGTTCTGAGAAAACTGTGACGCATTACATACACAGAGAGAGAAACAACACACACACACACGTGTACACACGTGCATGTGTATATGAGACATAGCACAGAGGCACGTGCACATGTGTGCGTGCACGTGTGTCTGTATGTGCCTGGCCTGTACATACATGCGTGTGCCTATGTAGGTGAACGTGCACACGTGTGTCAGGAGCATAGAGGCCACATTCACGTTATCACCCAACACCCGCCATCATTGGCTCAGAAACACGGGTGACCAGGGCGCAGTGGGGAAATCGGCAGCTGTCGTCTGTTCGGAAGCACCTTCGAGAGCGGCCAGAAACATGATTTACCATTAGTATGATTACGCGTCGGGGTTTACGTGCCGCACTCTGAACGGCCCGAGGTCCGCGTGGGTCCCGAAGCGCGTGCGCGCCTCATCAGGTGACGGGTCATTGTCGTCATCGGCGTTCCTCCCCCGGAGAAGTGGGTGTGTCTTCCCAGCTGAAGCTAGTGCAGGTCTGGCATTGATCTTCGCCAGATTTTGTTATTACACTTGTCTCACAGCTTTAAAATAGTAGCAAATATGTGCAATTTATTTAAACAACACTAGGGAAATTAACGCCATGCAAGCTCAGCCTAAGCAAATGAAGACAAAGCAGGTTTTTAAAAGGAGAACGGCTCGATGAAAACCTTGACAATTCCGAGTCTAGAATGAAGAGGCTCGGTGAGCTTCTGCAGGTGCCCAAGCATCAGCGGGCGAGGCAGACCTGCATTCTCTGTGCCGCACGTGGGAGACATGGCGGAGCCGGGACGGCCAGGCTCCACCTCCCAGAGGCCGTGCTTGTGGCCGGGACCCCTGCCCCAGCACCCCACACACGCACGCAGACGCGCTCAGAGCAAACACCAAGCGGGTCCCCTCTGCTGAGGCAAGTGCCTGTGCCGGGTGACCCTCGTTTCCTGTGAGGCCGGGAGCCCCCGCAAGGTCATGCGTCTGTGGAGCGTGGCAGTCCCCTGGAGGGCTCACTGAGCACACGCGGCAGGCGTCAGCGCAGAGGTGGGGAGTCCAGGTGGGAATCTCACACTTGGCATTTCTAACCTGGAAGCTGACGCCGCGGGAACTCAGAAATGCCTCTGCTGTCCGAGGTTTTTCACTGACGTCCTTGGGCCTCTCCAATGGGAATGTCCATGTCTGCCCAGCCCACTGCACCCTGACATGAGGACCCGTAGAGGGGATGGGGCCCCATGAAGAAACCCCAGAAGTGAGGGGGGCACACAGATCCTGCCTCTGCCTAAAGAGCTTTGTGACCTTCAGAAGTTACTTGGCCTCTCTGAGCCGCCCAGTCGCCTCCCTGGTAGAGGGGGGATGACCCTCCTGTAGCCTTGGCAGCAGGGAAGATGCAGGCAGAGACGGTTCAGAACGCTCAGTGCCCACAAGGCGTTGGCTGCCCCTGACACGTGGAGAGCAGTTGTCTGCATCCTGGCTGCAAGGGGGCAGGGTGTGGCCAGGACCATCCTGAACACTGTTCTGTGATGCTCATCAAGGAGTCTAGAGATGACCCCACCCCTGTCATCGTGAGAGATGCAGGGTTGGTCACAAGGCAGCATCTGTTAGTTTGACTTGAATAGGTGTTGAGAGAATGTCATGTTTCCGTAGAAATCAAGGCCACTGGGGATGCACACACCTCGCGTGGATTCTTCTCATGAAGGATGGGAAGCGACCTAGGGAAGCCTTTCGGTTTTTAATTGCTGCAGACTCTTAAGTGCAGGAGCTCAACACGAAAGACAGCAGGACCCCTGGTGGGGAAAGTCCCAGAGGGGGGTCTCTGGAGTGTGGCTTGTCCAGATGGGTTTTTCCATTGATGTAGCATCAGGTTTTGGCGTTCAGGACTGATCTGTTTTTTTGGTTTTTTTAATTAGTTTTGTCGACGTGTGTCTAACTTATTCTATGCAGCTTTTTTGCAAGAGGGAGTGGGGAAGGTTCAACGGGCAATGGCAAGACCAACAGGTTCTCACTGGGTGGGAGCTCAGCTGGAGGGTGGGGACCCCGCCGTGATTGGAGAGGGGCCACCGCCTAGGGCCTCCAGCCAGCTCTGTCCTCTCTGGCTTGGGCGGTCCTGGTCCAGGGTCTGTCTCTGCCACGTGAGCTCTCATATGCTCCTGGCTCTGAGACTCGGAGTGAAATGAACATCAACCACGAGAACGGTGCAGCCACACGGGGCACCTTGAAAATAAACATGGAGGCGATATAGGTGCAGATGTCTTGTGTATACGTGAGTCCTGTTAGCTCTTCTAATTATACAATTTCATGTACATTATAACATTCAGAAATACAGAAAGGTAAAAGGAATAAATTAAAATAAAAACTCACTGGTGACCAGAGAAAACCAGAGTTTACATTTCTATGTATTTCCTTCCAATCTTTTTTCTCTCCTTTTAAAAAACATGGGGACTTATGCTGCCTGTATACTTTGGTGCCATTTCTCCACCTCCTATCAGTGTATGGAATTTCTTCATATCTTCAAAGAGTAACTTCTTTTTTTCTTAATACATCTTTATGGAGTATAATTGCTTCACAATGCTGTGTTAGTTTCCGCTGTACAACAAAGTGAATCAGCCATATGCATACATATATCCCCCTATCCCCTCCCTCCTGAGCCTCCCTCCCACCTTCCCTATCCCACCTCTCTAGGCCGTTGCAAAGCACCGAGCTGCTCTTGTGCTATGCGGCTGCTTCCCAGTAGCTATTTTACAGTTGGTAGTGGATATGTGTGATGCTACTCTCGCTTCGCCCCAGCTTCCCCTTGCCCTGCCCCGTGTCCTCAAGTCCATTCTCTATGTCTTCATCTTTATTCCTGCCCTGCCACTAGGTTCATCAGTACCATTTTTTTTTTTTTTAGATTCCATATAGATGCGTTAGCATACGGTATTTATTTTTCTCTTTCTGACTTACAAAGAGTAACTTCTAATGACACGTAGTATCCCAAAATATGAACGTAGTGTAATACATTTAAATATTATTTACCACCATCAGACTTCCAGAATTTTTTCCTGGTATTTTTACTATTTCACATATACATAATGTTATTATAAAGACAGCTACAATGAACATCTTTATTTGGCGTGTTTGTCCACATGCAGTTCCGCTGGGACAGACTTCCAGCTGTGGAGTTATGGGGTCAAAAGCGAGGACCATTTTTGAGGCTTCTGATAGCTGTTGGCAGAATGCTGCTCCCAGCAGTGAGGAGCCCCATTGACTTCAGAGCCGCCGACATTCAGTCCCGCCGGTTCCCGCCAGGCATGGGCTCTTATCAGTCTAATTTCCATAGCAACCCTCTGAGTTCAGTGCTGTTATTACCAAGCCCGTTTTATAAAAGAAGTAGCTGGAGCTGAGAGAGATTAAGGGCACTTGCCCCGTGTCACATGAATCTTTGGATGCAGGTAAACATAAAACACCAGGTCTGTTTAACGCCAAATCCCACAACCTCAACCATCACCCTCTGCTGACTCACTCACGACACGCTCCTCAGGGGGAGGATTCATTTTGTTTACTCTTGTCAGTTTGATGGGTGAGGAGGATATATTGCTTTAATTTGCATTGTTTGATGACTGGACATTTTTCATGAGTTTATTGATCCTTTATATTTACTTTGCTGTTAATTATCTATTTGTGTCTTTTTCCTGTTATAATGAAGTTCCAATTTTTTCTTATTGATTTGTAGGAACTCTTTATATAGTCAGGCTCTTAGCTGTTTGTCAGATTTGTCGTAACTTCATCAATTGCTTTTAGGGTATGTTTTCATAAACAAGGGTTTTAAGTTAAAATGTATGAATATTATCCTTTGTAATTTTTTTCCATCGTTTTGGGCCCTGATGTACTGGTTAAAGAGTCAGTTATATTTTCTTCTTTGTTTATGGTTTCTTAACCCCCATTTAATCTGTAGTCCATTTCTTTGTAGAGATGAGGGTCTTGCTAGATTTTTTTCCCTAACACGTCCCCACTTTTCCCAACACCATCCAATCTTTCCCTGGATCTAGGATAGTACAAATTCTAACAGATGCCTTTTCCTCTGCAACACCTAACCAGGCTTCTTTTCCTCTTCTCTCCCTTCCAAATAACGCTGCAGAAAGGAAAGAAGAGTGCACCCCTGGACCCTGTCCAGCCGCCAAATGACACACTGTTGCCGTGGCCACAGCATCAGAGCTCCAATGGGCTGAGGCGGCAGAAACGGGACTGGGTCATCCCGCCCATCAACGTGCCAGAAAACTCCCGCGGGCCCTTCCCGCAGCAGCTGGTGAGGGTAAGTGGAGACGCTCCTGCCGGTGGGGAAGCTCTCGGCTTTAGCCCCTGCCTGTCCCGGGATCTCACGAGTCATGTCTGATGGGCTTGTTCCTGGAGCCTGGGACCGGCTCTGCACTGGGTGTCTAAGGTCAAGATTTTGCCTTTTCAGTAATGAGATAAGTAATACACAGAACAGAAAAGTCAGAAGGGCAGTTGCATCCTCCAGGGTGGACGGGCCTGCTTGCATTGGGTCCTCTCTCTCCGGTTACTGTCCAGTGACTGTTCTGGTGCGTGGAAGGAGATGGGATGGAGACTTGGGTCATGGCCTTTGACCTCTGACACCTTCCTTTGGTCTGCATGTTCACACTTCTTCCCGATTATGGCTAAGATATTGAATGGAGAATGATGGCTTGTCCACGCTGACCATGATCTTGGTGAAAAGTCAGAGGTGCTGAGACTGAGCCTGAGGTGCCGGGGGGGGCAGTTCTGTGTCCCTTCCCTTAGGGTCACCTGCTCCCAGCAGCCACCACGAGGTTGCTTTTCCTGAAGGACTGAAGGACTCATTTTACAAATCTGTTTTTCAATGATCAAGGCCACCAACTAGCGTCATCTCCTTCCCTTTGAAGGAAGATTGCAGCCCAATCTGAACAACAGTTTGATAAAGTGGTGGTGAGAACCCCGTCAGATAATCCCATCTGTGGCCAGCGCCTCTCCCCACCTGTGGAGCTGGGGCCCCTCGAGTGTTATTAGGGCGTCGGCTTCATTCCTTGGCCTGATTAGTCTGTTTTGTTTCCTGTTCTTTTTGATGCAGAAAGCTGGGGGGTGGGTATTAAAATGCAGAGCTGAAGCAGCAGACCTCGCAGGGCCATCCAGGTCAGTCACCCCACCATACACACCACAGCCACGGAGCCGTGTCGTGACTATCGCCCTGCCTTCACCACATGTGACACTGTGACTTAGTTTGGTCTTTGTTCCTGTTTCTGGCCAGAACTCGTAAAACCCGTGCAATTTCCTAAATGATAAGAGTGAAAAAGATGTCTGCAGACATCCACAGCAAACCCCTTCTAGCACACCTGAGCTCATGTGCATGAGGGGACTTTGGGGAAGTCCCAGGGGAACCTAAGGCCGGGGGGGGTACCAACCCTGTGACTGCAGGGCTGGGACCTTCACGTTCCCCTTCCCCCCCAGCCGCTCACCCCAGGAGGGAAGAGGGGCTGGATGTTGAATCAGTCACCAGTGACCCATGATTTAATCAGTCGTGCCTACGTAACGAAGTCTCCATAAAACCCCAAAAGGACAGGGTTCAGAGAGCTTCCGGGGGGTGAACACATGGAGATTCAGTGAGGATGGCTCTCAGGGAGGGCGTGAAGTCTCCGGGAACCTTCCCACACCTCGTCCTACGCCTCTTCCCTCTGACTGTTCCCGAGTTCGTACCCTTTACAATAAACCAATAATCTAGCGAGTGCACTGGTTTTCCGAGTTCTGTGAGCTGCTCTAGCAAGTTAATCGAACCCAAGGAGGGGGGTGTTGGAACCTCAGAGTTACAGCCAATCGGTCAGAAGCTCAGGTGACAACCTGGACTTGGCAATTGACGTCTGAAGTGGGAGCATCTCGGGGGACCGAGCCCTTAACCTGTGGGATGGACGCCCTCTCCGGGTAGATGGTGTCAGAGTTGAGTTAAATGGTAGCACCCCCAGCTGGTGTCACAGAGAATTGCTGGATGTGGTGACACCTCTGGTGTCAGAAGTGCTGTGTGTGGCAGTCGTGGAAAAAAGGAGGAGCAGGAGGGTGTGTCCAGCTCAGCATATCACCGAACACAAGTGTGTGTGCCTGTCGCATGGGGGAGGCCAAACAGACCGAAATGTTGGAGTTTGGAGCAGAGAAGTGTTTACTGCAGGGCCAAGCAAGGAGAATGGGTGGTTCGTGCTCAAAAACTTCAAACTCCCTGATTTGAAGGGAGTTTCTCTTGGGGGAGAAGTTTTTATAGGCAAAACTTGGGGTGAGGGCTGCAGGGTGTGTGACTTTCTTCTGACTGGTTGCTGGTGAGGTAGCAGGACGGGGCTCTAGGAATCTCGTGCTCAGCCTGGAGCTGCCGTCCTCCACCTGCGTGGGGTCCTCAGTTCCTGCAGAAGAACTGAAGATGCAGTTACGTACACTCCTTGAGCAGGAACCAGGATCCTGCTTTGATCTCTGCACTGTAGTGTGATTGTTCTCCCTTTGTTTTTCCGCATTCCCTTACTTCCCTGGTTAGCAAGTGTTTGAATCTGCTCTTTGGTATTTAGGAAGGTCTAGGAGACTGAAGCCTTTTTCCTGCAAGTAAGAAACAGGGGACACGGAAAGGCTTTTGTGACCAGGAGGGCCCCATAGGGCCCTGCTGAGTTTCAGTCACACAGAGCCACCCTCCTGCCTCAGTCCCCTGGGATGGGAGTTCACTTCCAGAGCCATCACGCGCCCTTGAGAGGCCTGCCTGGGAGGGCGGGATCACAGCGAAACGGAGGTGAGGACTGGAGGGAGGCGCTCAAGCATCGACCCCCCCAGCCCGGGCGCAGTTTCCCAGACTGAGCGTCCTCTGGGCACATGGGCCAGGCCCAGGGCACAGCCCACGCCAACGGGGGTGCTGGTGACGGCTCTGGGGCCCCCGCCAGCCTCGAGGCCTTTGCCGCGTTGGACTGCCACTTGCCATTTACTTGAGATTTTCTCTAGTAGCTCATTTTCAGTATAAATACATTTATTCCAAAAGGAGGCTTTATTGGCTCACAATTGGAAAGCTGGAGGTATCTCTGCATAAAGCAGAGGAAACATAGCTCTGGGGCGGGAGGGGGCGGGGGGGGGGACACGCAAGTGTTGACGTGTCTGAGATACACCGGAGCCAGAAGCTTCCTCTGAAGTGTCGCCAGGATTGAAAGCAAACTGGACAGGGAGCCAGGTTTTCATTGTGTGAGCCAGTTTTGTTGAAGGCCTTGGGCTGTGCTCCCCAAAGGTCATCTCTAGTAGAAATCTGTCCATCTAACTCAGGGATTGGCAAACTTTTTCTTTTTTTTTTTTTTAACATCTTTATTGGAGTGTAATTGCTTTACAATGGTGTGTTGGTTTCTGCTGTATAACAAAGTGAATCAGCTATACATATACATATGTCCCCATATCTCTTCCCTCTTGCGTCTCCCTCCCTCCCACCCTCCCTATCCCACCCCTCCAGGCGGTCACAAAGCACCGAGCTGATCTCCCTGTGCTATGCGGCTGCTTCCCACTAGCTATCTACCTTACGTTTGGTAGTGTATATATGTTCATGCCACTCTCACTTCATCCCAGCTTCCCCTTCCCCCTCTGCGTGTCCTCAAGCCCATTCTCTGCGTCTGCGTCTGTTTTCCTCAGAGCCCTTGGCAAGCGTCTTCTGTGAAGGACCAGGTAGTGAATGTTCTAGGCTTTGTGAGCCCTGCCGACTGGCCTCTGTTGAAACTATTCTGCTCTGCCTTTGTAGCGTGAAGGCGGCCCTCGGCAATATGTAGACCAACGGGCGTGGCTGGGTTCCGATAAAACTTTATTTACAAAAGCAGGCAGTGGGCCCGATTTGACCGCAAGCCAGATCCACCTCATTTCCCAAACTCCGGAACGTCTGGCCGAGTCATCCTCACCAATACTCAACGCTTGGCGGGAACCTTCTAGTGACGGGTGAGTCTGTAATGAGCCCCGAGGGGGCGTTTGCTCACTCACACCCTCACACACGTGCGTTTGGCAGGCATCTTGCCGCCACTGGGATATTCTGTCGTCCTGGCTCTCAGAGCTTTCTCAGAGTTGATGATATGGGTACCAACACGAGGAATTTCCCTCCTCTGTGCCCAGTCGTACCCAGGCCTGTGAAAGGTCCCAAAAGGGAAGAAGGCCACTGTGGGCAGAGCCCTTGTCCTGCAGGGGTTCCCAAGATCTGCTGGGTCGTCTGTCCTCTGCTGGACAGTGGAGGAAAGACACCCGTGTGCTTCCAGCCTGACCACTGCCGGCAGCCCCGAGGCAGAGAGGTCGGGTCTGGCAGTAGGAGAGGCGAGAGCCGGCTTCCCCGAGCAGCAGGCACTCGCGCCCCGCGGGCCTGTGGCTGTGTTGAGGGGGCACAGTCTTCTCACGAGGCCACAGTGACGTCTGTGTGCCCTGATGGGGGACGTGCACCGCTCTGAAGCAGGGAAATGAGCCCCCTCCCCAGTGAACGTAAACCTTGCAAAATCCGGCAGGAAAGCAGCGACGGCGGGAGCTCTCGGGCCCCTGCACACGCAGGCTCCTGGGGACTCTCCTTGCTGGTGATGTTTCTACGCTGGAGCCGTGGGGACAGGCGGTCCGGGCGTGGTGTCTGGCGTGCGATGAGCAGAGCTGCGCGCTCCACGGACTCACTGAGGGGCAGCCTCTCCTGTCTTCTAGTCTGCAGTGTTGCTGTGGTTTGGAGAGACCGCGTCCTCTGCTGCTCGGACCCCCCGACGTGTCCGCAGCCCCTGGAGGGAGGCTACCTCCAGGTGGATGTCAGCTCCAACGCGGACTGCAGGGAGGGCTGACGCTCTGACGGGCATTCCCACAATTTCAGAAACCGAACAGAACAGAGGTTTATTTCTTGCTCCTGGGAAGGTCATTTGGGGGCTGTCATGCGGGGCGCCAGAGGGAGGAGCGCAGGGTCGGCTGGGCCTGGACGTGGGAAACACCATTCCCGCCTGAATTCCATTGGCCAAGTTGCAGAGGACCCCGGGGAACGCGGCCCAGCTCTGTGCCCAGGAGGAGGGGTACGTGTGGGAAATGGCTGCGTGCTGCCCCAGTGGGTTTCCCCAGAGGAGAAAGTGTGCGTCCTTTCGGCTCGAAGGGCCCCGCAGCGCCAAGGAAGGGGGTGGTCTAGGTGAGCGATCAGACCTGACTCACCTGCCCTTCTCCAAGCCTGGTCTGTCTTTACCACACTGTCCCGCTGTACTTCCGCCGTAGCACTCAGTACAGTCTGACGTCATGCCTGCTATTTATTCACCCAAGGACAGGCCTCCTGAAGGCAGGGGC